ACGCATTTGTCAACAACACTGCCTGAAAGAGGAACATGATTTAATCGGCAACGTTTTGGGTAATGGCACTTGTTCACAGTATAGACGTCCACGTTGGTGTCTGAGCTATTTGTGCGGTATTTATCTCGTTTTCCACATGCACTTGTTCTTTTTCTGGGTAATTCAGTTTGACCTTTCTGTACCATCATCTCTTCTCTGACATGGAGCACCTTACCTTCCTAGTACCCCCCCCCCCCCCTGCAAACAATATATGTTTGCTCGCCTCCGTTACACACGTGCGCCTCCATTTTGCACAACACCTTAGAATGCAGTCACATTCAGATGCATTGTAAATGCAATAATATTGCATTATCACAGCTGGGCAGCGGTGGCTCGTACCTGTAATCCAGCGCTGTGGAAGCTAGGGTTGGTGGATTGCACAAAAAGGTTGTGAAACTCCCTCTTGCCTGGAGAAGGCAGGACAGCAAGTGGACTTATCGGCATCTTCTTCCATCCTAACAGGGATAGAGTATTGCCCCTTTGCAGAGGTCGCAACCGGGTACCCGATACCCATACCCTACCCGATACCCGGGTACCCGTACCCGGCCGGGTACGGGTACGGGTAGCCATTTGCGACCCTGGTGCGGCCGGGTACGGGTAAAGAATCAAAACCCGTTTGCGACCTCTGCCCCTTTGTGCTTGTGGGTTTTCTCTCACTTGTTTAAACGCTCACTGATTGGCTCAAAGCATTTAAAGTCCAAACCCAATATGGGATCCTCCTGAAAAAGAGTCAGCGTGGCTCTCCTGGACAAACAAGTAGATTAAATGAAGAAAAATATTAATAAAATGTAACAATGATGACAAATATTTAAACAAGAGCTCTGCTTGAAATAATTGAATAAAGGAAGACGAGATGGTATTCTTGTTTTTTTTTAGGAAAGTCACGTAGGTAAAAAATAAAATAAAATTTGTATTAAAGTAAAATAAAATAAAAAACCTAAAATAAAATAACAAAACCTAAGAATATGAATCCTTGCAGTCACGAAAGCTTCAAATCTAGAAGACGAGATGGATTGGGCATATTGTGAGAGGATGATGAGTTCTGGTCGGAATGAACAGTACTGTGGTTTCTTTCCCACATGTAAAAATACCCAAAACAAGATTTGTAAAAAAAAAAATCACATGCAAAAGACTTTGCTGAAATTGTCTCAACTCAGCGAGGCTTTCCTGGCTAAGAAAAGTGTTAACCAGCGGTGTGTGGAATGTGCAGGCAAGGTTGGAGTGGGATCTGTGTGAAGTCGTGCACAGAGTGTTGTGCCCCGCGGTGCATGTGCTGCACATCTTGCGCGACCCCCAGGAGAGTTTCTCAATTCACTTCGAGGCGGAGGAAATGGCCAAGCGGTGGACAATCCTCATCAGCAGCTCTTACTATGAAGTCCAGCGAGGTATTGTGTCCCGAGACAGACGCACTCTTGCGGTTTTTTTTTGTTATGTTACAAGAAATTATTGAAATTTCAAACGTTGCTTTTCGTAGCCAGTACTATAATCCATAGTTATTTTCATGTTATGCCGCTTAGTAGTTTTATGCCACGAATATTGTCATTAACCATCCACCACATGACAAGACTGTTATGTTTACAAAGATATGATTTACACGTGCCGATGTATTGATCGAATGCTGACAAATACAGCTAATTCACACCAACATACGACGTTTTGCTCTAATTGATTTGAGCGTCTTCAGGAAGTGCACTCGTATATCGAGCGGGCTGTTTCTTTATACACACTGACTTTTCTGGCAGTCTATTCAACAGTGAAGGCTACAGCTGTGCTTAATGAAGTGTACACCTTGTGTGTCCATTATCGACAGTTTGTTACTGATGCTAGCAGTTACACATTGTTGGCAGTACCGAACCTAACTTTGATCTTGTTTGTTTTAGGATTCTAGCGATTGAATCACTTGGGATGCTAAGAAAGAAGAAATGTATTGGGAATGTTGTGAGAGGGGAGAGGTTGATGAGTGAAGTGTTTAAGTGTTGTGATGAATGTATAGCAAGATAACTAGAGGTAAGCGGAGGAGGAAGATGTTGGATGAGTTGAAGGAAGGAATGATCAGTACATGAAAATGAGAAATATAGTCAGGTCAAGTTGGAGAACAGTGGAGATTTTTACCTATGCATAGGACCTGTAAATTTAGATGCAACATTGTATTGGATTGTGATGGTATTTTTTTCCATTACGTTAAAAAGCACGGAGTTAGAATTATGCGAGATGCATATGACTAAAATATGCATTCTGTAACTAGAGTCATACTATAATGCTGAGTGTGATCATGTGCGTGTTGATAATGCAGTATTGAAACCCTTGCAGTACGATTTTCGAAACGACTTAAAAAAAGAAACACACAGTGAAACCACAGGGGGCACTGTGGGATAGGCGGTGAGACATGATGTTAAAAAACATTTTTTGTATTTTTCTGTTTGTAACTTTACTAATTTTTATTATATATCCTACACATGAATAAACCATACGGTATCAAAATATAATAATAGGTTGTAGCCTTTCTGGAAATAAAACAGTTGTGTTAAGATGATAAAACACCAAAAAAACCTTTTGCAAGGAATCATGTCTGCATTAATCACACGTACTTGTGGTGAACATGCAAACAAAAACATGCTCTGATCAAATATATGCATTGTCTTTGAAACTGATTGGTCCACACCAGTGACAGCTTTCCTTAGAGCCTTGTCTCAGACGTTGTTAGACCAGAGGACGCCAAAAGGCGAATGACTGTTCGAACAGCTGTTCGCCTTTTGGTTAATGCAGACAGGATTCCTTGCAACATGTTTCTGTTTGGTGTTTTAACATCTGAACACCTGTTTAATCGCCAGAAAGGGTAAAACCTATTTTTTTATTATTGTTACGGGAAAGAAACGTCTCATATCATGCGGTATCAAGACATACTCTTTGGTTCTTTCGGTAAAGTCACGTAGATAAAAAAATTAAATTAAATAGAAAGAAAATTAATAAAAAATACTTTTATTATTTTTTACCTACGAGTATGGATCCTTGCAGTAACGAAAACTTCAAATCTGGTATCAATACAATTAAATAAATAATATTTGGACTACAATATTTGTATGGATTTTATGACTGTTTTGACAAGCGTAGAGGTAGCTTTTCTCATCAATAATGTACAAACGTAGCCACGTATTTGCACAATTATCTCTCGAATTGTTTCAAACAACACGCAGAACCGTGTGCGAAATGTACTCATGTCTTTGCAGATTGTGCGGTGGTGTAGTGGTTCGTGCGCTGTGCTACGAATCTGTTGACGATTATCTGAACCGGTCCTGGGCCTCCCCTAGGTCGACTTGGCCTCAAATGAGTACCTAGTGTGGTGTGTAAACATCGCCACTAGTGAGACAAAGGCGGTCGGGCATGCTGGCCTTCATAGGCGCTCGCCGCTGACAGCACTTGCCCCAACAGTCTGTCCAGGCTATAGGGGGGATCTTTGTTTTGTTGTTGTTGCTGCAGATTGTGCAAAGCCCATCAGTGCATCAAGGAACGAGTGCTTTTTGTACGAGTGGCTGTCTTTTACGAGATTGTGTTTCCTCTTACGATGGGTTTTCTCGTAATTTAGCAGATTTCATCGCATTGCACGCATTCCAGGAATTGATGGTAGTGGGAATTGTGGGGGGTGGGTGGTGGGGGGAGGTAAAATTTCAGTATTTTTTTTATCCGGGTGTGTGCTTGGTCTCATTGTGTCCGGTTGGCCTCCCCAAATCAGCCTCAAATGACTGCATTGCGATGTGTAAACATCACCACTGGGGGAGACAAAGGGCGACCTGGGCGTGTTTGCTTACCTATCCACCCACTCACGTACCGTACCGGTTATCATGTACGTACATTGAACTTCTTTCGAACCGTACGTCACCAATCGCAGATGCGGGTGGGGGGCAACAAGCTAAACACAAAAAGCAGTTCTAAAAAAACCCCAGTTTTTAATCTGGATGACTTAAAAGTGCAAAAGCTCCCAGTGGCGTCCTAACATCGAGGAGGTCAGAACGTTCCAGACGGCCGCAGAAGCGCATTCTGAAAGCAGCGCGCGATGCCGTGGCCGTCTTTGTTCTTTGATGTCCAGCCAGAAGGGTTCGCTATGAACAGCGACTTGCCCCAAAACCCTGTTGAAGTCCATAATAGTGTGTGTGGTGTGGGGGGGGATCTTTGTTATTGTCTTGGGGTGTAAGAGGGGAAGAGGGGTGGGAGGGGAAGAGGGGTGGGGGGAGAAGGGTTGGGGTCGGGGGGAAGGGGTGAGGTTTTTTTTCCATTTTTTTTTCATTTATTTGGTATAGCCCTGTGAGCCATTAGGCTCTTGAATCGGGTGCAACCTCAACAAATAAAAAGCACAAACATGAATAAGAAAACATCTTAAAGTGACTATGGGCAAACAGAAAAATCCAGGAAAAAACAGCTAAAATCTTCCAGAAAAAGCACCGTACACCAACGCTCTGTGCAAAAATCTCAGTGGGATGCAAGTCAAACAACAACAACAACCACAAGACAACTTAGATTAAAGCCATCATTCTAACTCCGTACTACGACAAACCAAACAACTTTTCGAAATCACAAAGGGGTGGGGGGGGAGAAGGGGGTGGGGGGGAGAAGAAGGGGGGGAGGAGAAGAAGGGGGGGGGAGAAGGGGGTGGGGGGGGAGCAGAAGGGGGTGGGGGGAGGAGAAGTGGGTGGGGGGGAGGAGGGGGTGGGGGGGGGAGGGGGAGGAGAAGGGGGTGGGGGGGAGGAGAAGGGGGTGGGGGGGAGAAGAAAGGGGTGGGGGAGAAGAAGGAGGTGGGGGGGAGGAGAAGGGGGTGGGGGGGATGAGAAGGGAGGGGGTGGGGGGGAGGAGAAGGGAGGGGGTGGGGGGGAGGAGAAAAAGGGGGTGGGGGAGAAGAAGAAGAAGGGGGCGGGGCCGACGAGAAGGGGGCGGGGCCGACGAGAAGGGGGCGTGGTCAATCCCCGGAAGTGAATGCTCGCGCTGCGTGCACCCTCCCCGCGTTCAGCGGCCACGGTCACGGCACTGGAAGTCGTCCCTCATGTTGCCTAACTTGTTCAGGTTGGTGGTGGTGATTGTGATGATGGTGTAGTTGTAATGAACCGTGCTTCGTCGAGTCTATTGTGACCGCAGAGCGAGGGGTAAGAGGAGTTTGGCGATGGGGTAGCGAGCACGCCACGAATGCGACATGTCGAACAGGAAGTTACTCATCGACGATGTTGTTCCTCGCGGGGGTTTCTTCCCCTTCTCTCGGGCTGCACTAATATTGTGCACGGGGCTTCATCTCTCAACGATCTCGTTAAGGAGCATCAACCACCATCATCAGTGATCATCGCTGCGATCTCCGCCCCCCATACAACAAAGTCGCGTGTTTTCAGGCGCGCTCCTGCGGCCGTCTGGAACGTTCTCGGACGCTGCTGGAGCCTACGGAACTTTAAAAACCATTAAACACTAAGTTTCGATGTAAAGCTTTCGTGACTGCAGGGATTCATCTTATTGGTTCTCTCGGTAAAGTCACGTAGAAGGGAAATAATAAAATAATAAGAAGGGAAATCATAAAATAATAAGCAACATTAATAATAATAATTATATTATTTAACTATGCTTTATTTTTATTATTTAATGTTTTATTTTATAATTTCCTTTCTACGTGACTTTACCGAAAGAACCAAGAACATTGAACACTAATTTCTTAAGGACTGATTTTATTGCGTGTTAGTTCGTTGTCTTCCCCCACCCTCCACCCCCTCCGAGTAGCACGGTCTGCCTCCAGAGATTTAGTGAAAAGTGATTTCACTTGGGAATGCTGATTTTTATTTGTTGCTAGCCTTGTAAAAAAAAAATACATCTTATTTTTCTTTAACTTTGTTTTCCTTTTGGAAAATATTACTGGGTGCCTCCACAGTACCTGTGTAGCCCAGGGGCCGAGAAAATATTCATCCGGCTCTGGGTGCAAAGGAAGTTCTCAACGCACTAACTGAATACGTTTCGAATCTCGGGAAGAACTAACTAACTGTGTACTCTTAGGTTTTTTCGGTAAAGTCACGTCGGTGAAAAGAAATAATAAAAACCATAGAAATAATAATATAAATAAAATAATAAATCACGACGTTTCGGAGGCAACACAAGTCTCCGTCATCAGGTGGGACCGTCACAGCTAAAATTTACTGTATCAAGTGAGGCAAAATTGCAAGAGACAAGCTCTTAAATACAAGTTAAGGGGGGGGAGGGGCTTATCTGAATGTGGTAGCCAATGAATGCAACGTGTTGGGGGGTGGGCGGAGCTAAAAGAGAACAATCGGTGTACCTGAACTTGGGGTTGTAACCGGTGTTGGCTGACAATCCAAATACAAAAAAGGCAGTACTCTTTTTCTCTTTTTGGTTCTTTCGGTAAAGTCACGTAGAAGGGAAATAATAAAATAAATAAAATAAAACATAGTAAAAATTATTCTCACGACGATTCGGCCACAACGCAAGCAGCCGTCCTCAGGTGAAGAACGCTGTCTTTCCGACAGACCTGTCTTTCCGACAGACCTGTTCTTCACCTGAGGACGGCTGCTTGCGTTGTGGCCGAATCGTCGTGAGAATAATTTTATTATGTTTTATTTTATTTATTTTATTATTTCCCTTCTACGTGACTTTACCGAAAGAACCAAGAAGATGAATCCCTGCAGTCACGAAAGCTTTAAATCGAAAAGGCAGTACTGTTAAACGCTGGGGATGTCAACACTCGGTAAAGTAGAATAGTACCTGTCAAATAAGATGGTACAAATATGTGTAGTTAAATGTGTAGTTATTATTTATATTATTTTTATTATTTCTTTTCACCTACGTGACTTTACCGAAAACACCTAAGAGTATGAATCCTTGCAGTCACGAAAGCTTCAAATCTAGAATTAACTAACTGTGTGTTTGGTTCGTCGACCTTGACAAACCCGGCTGAAGTTAAACGAATGCCAATGCGTAATGCATAAAGCATTCAAAGTGCGTTGATTAGGCTGATTATTTTGATTGCACTGCCCCACAAACCTCTCATGTGGTCCCAGCACAGCACAACGCTCGAATGTTATTCTTCACTTCTGTTGGGGCTTAACATTGGCATTTCAGTTGAGTGCGCCGTGTGTTTTTGCAATTTCCGTATCATCATGGGTTCTGTCTTTTTTTTTTTCACGCCAAGGTTATATATTTTTAGTAATTGATTGTCATTATGTGGGAACAAACATTTTCCTCCACACGCTTAGGTTCTTTCGGTAAAGTCGCGTAGGTATAAAACAAAATAAAATAAATTAAATCACGACGTTTCGGGCACAACACAAGCGTCCGTCATCAGGTGGGAAAACCCCAGCAGGAAACAATTGCTGAAGTGGGCAGAAGGACCTCCGTGACACGAGGCTATATAGGCAAGAGAGGGAGGGGACGCTTGTGTTGCGCCCGAAACGTCGTGATTTAATGTAATTTATTTTCTTTTATACCTACGTGACTTTACCGAAAGAATCAAAGAGTATGGATCCCTGCAGTCACGAAAACTTCAAATCTCGATTTCCCACCACATTTAGAAACGTGCATTGAGATTATTTTGATTAATTTGCGGCTGTAAATGCCCAACCGATAGAGCCATTTTGTTGAGCTATCATTTGTGGCCAAGGGCGTTTGTGAAAAATAAGTGAATACCTCAGTTCGCTTAGGAAATAGGATAGGATAGGGATGGTTTAGTTGTTTGTGTTTGGGTCATTTGTTTACCTTTCTTGTAATTTGCACTGCTATCATGTTTTTATATTGTTTGTTGTAACGGTCTTCTCCTCCCCTACTGGACATCTTTGAAAAAGAGCTTTATATCTCATCGGATTCAGATTCTGAATTCTTCCTGGAACAGACGTAACAGTAAAACATATTTAGAGCCCTTGCCAATCACCTGCTGGATGAAGTTCCGTACTCCGCATGCCGTGTCGGTCATGGAGGTTGTTTGATCATACTTCACCATGCCGGTTAGGGTGTGTTGGTCAAGGCTGTCCGAAGATCGCTTCAGATGTCACTCGCCACTTGTCTTAGCCTTGGCTTGCAATCAAACTCGGGGTGGAAGGTTTATGGTGAAGTATGGATACTCGCCAATGTTCCACCGGTAAGAACGTACTCTCGACTTAGGCTGCTGTATATAAAAACAATGATGAGCATGTGTTTGGTGGTCTGCATGTGTCACTGATGTCTTCTCTAAATCTGTTTGATCTTCATTAGATGCAATGAAAGCGATTATAGGGATCTAGTGGATGTGGCTGAAACAGTTTCAATACGAGAGGAGCAAACAATTATGAAGGGCGTGTTTTTGTTTATGCCGTATGGGACTCTGCGAAACAAGCTACTCCTGGGTTTTGTGAACATATGTTTTGTATTGTAACAGCCAGTTTGTATTTAGTTTTAATGTTGGCACACATGGCATCATATAATGTGGGGAGGCAAACCAGGCAGCTGTCAATTTCTGAAGTGGTGTGACAAGAGATATTTTTACTATAACATTATACTTAGCAACATGCCACCGATAATTTAATACCAATGTTTTGCTGCCTCAACTGGAACTTTTGATGTGGCAACAGTCATCCACATGCGAGAAAGATCGAACTCAACTCTCGCATCACTTTTGTTTGTAATCTGCCAGACTGTTGGAATGGTTTTCTTTAAATTCCGTTATGTTTTGCTTTACAGCCTCTGAACAGAGCGAGTCTGGGATGGCGGCGACGCAGGACCTTTCGGAGATGCTTGTGCAGTCGGGTGAGTGACACCCGCCTACCACGACATCATCCGTGCACTGCCATCTATCCAGAGCTGGCACACGAGAACTATCAGCGTTGAACGCTGCTTGCGTGTTATTCGTGCCGCGGTGTGTTTGTGCGCATTACGTCGCTTTAGGCAGCTGGAGGCAGCTGCGCAGGTATGTGCACGGGGTCAGCAGTTCCATTCCCAGACTGTCACGCAATCACTTTTGTGAGAATTACCAAAGCGAGACATATAGCGAAAAAAACGCACACCGCAGACTTCACAAGAGCGGGCCATTTTTTGTCAATGTCATAGCCTAAGTGTAAACTTTTAAATAGTACCTACAGCACCATTGCAAAAAAAAACCACAGTGTTCCCTAAGAAACCCTGTAGCCAGCTCTTCCTTGCAAAAAGACATTACGACTCTCAATGGACTATCACCGGACCACGGAATTGAATTTCATCTTCCGCCCACCATTGAACTCCCTTGACCTACCCTTAAGTGTGACAAGGAATGGGCAGTTGTTTAATTTTACGACGCTTTGTTCCAATGCCACTTCACACCGGTTTAATAGCCTCTGGAGCCTATGATCTCGCCCTGTCCACCTTAAATTCCATGGCTGGATGAGAGTAATCGCCTTGTTTTGCACTCGGTGGATCCCAAGCAAGTTTTTGTGTAGCCCGTGGCCACACTTTGGTGGCATGCGCTCAGATGTAAGCACGCAAGCTGTATGTTTCATATATTTAGCAATATCCGTTGGCTATAAAGGGATGCAAATGTGCGAAATTTGCACTGTAATCTTAAAAAATGCATAATTATGCTCAAAAACATGCATTATTCAGGTCCTGAAGTTTATATTAGTAGCAAACACATTTCATGTAGGCAGCATTAAAAAACAAAAATATTAAAGAAAATAAAATCCTTTAGTTTCGCCAAATTTGTAGCATAGCAGAAAAATTGCCGCTTGTTTTTATTCATGTTGAATTGGAATTTAGCTCTTTGATGTGTTTTTGGGGTTATTACGTGGAATTCTGCAAGAATTCAGTTCCTGAATAAGATCCCAGCACATGGAGTAAAACGTCGGACATCATGCCAAACAACACGCGGTACAGCCCGAAAATTCTTTTGAAAAACCGTTTAAAGCACAACCGTGAAAACACGTTGTTCCGAACTGAACACATCTCCCTGTCCGTGATGTGATTTGGTGCGTCCTGTGTGTTTGTGCGGCATGACACAAGACTGTCCTGACCCCCCTCTCGCTCCCCTCCGCCTGTTCCAGAGCTGCTGTCCGTACAGCTGGGCCGGGCCATCCACGCTGGCGATGTGGTGGCGGCCCAACAGCTTGCGGCCCGCCTGGCCGAATGCCGCTCCTCCTTGCACGTGCAACTCAAGACGTCAGGACAATCGAGCAGCAGCTTCAGGTCGGTGCCCAAGCGGCAAGCAGGGAGGGGTGGGACACGTGTGGGTGCGGAGGACGCCTCACGATACAGTGAATCATAGGTGCGGTTGGTGGATTGTGTGCAGTTGGAGATTGCTTGAGACACAACTGCAGGGCAGTGAGGGGGGGGGGGTTCCCCTTAAGAGCAAAAGTGGAAGGAAAGAAGTAAGTAAGTTCAGGCAGCACACATCACCAGAAGGGATGTTGGTCAATGGTGAAGAATATTGACGGTGGAAGCCAAGGAATGGAATGCGTCCGGGAGGACGTCGACGGGAGGATTTGGGAGAGATTAAATTCGTCTGTGCGCTGAAATCAGTCTGGGCGCTGGTGCTTGTTGGATTTTTTACATCCCAGCTTCGCGAGATATGGCGGTGACTCGGCGAGACCTTCAACAGCCGGTTGATCAGGGCCAATTAGGAGGATATTGATTGCGAGTAGGTTTTTGAAAGCAAGCGTTTGTGTGCGTTTCCCTCGGTGTGCATGGGCTTTGCTTTAGTTATTATGGTTTTGTCTCGCATGCAAATGCACTGCGAGTTGACGGTGGTCTCACGTTCTAAGCGGGAACATCCTGAAAAAAGTCATGAACCACGAGTGAAGCCCTTTATTTTGTAAAGAAATTACCAGGAGCGGACCAAAGTTCTCCACTTCACTATGTTATTTACCTTCGTCATCCATGGGTGCCACAACAACTTTGTGTTAAGTGCATTCAGCAAGTCGGACTTTTCCAGTTCTGTGTACTCTAAAGAGTTAGGAGAAGGCTTGAACTAAAGTGACCTTTTGAGAATGTTTTTTTAACCTCTGTGCTGTTTGCAAAACGGCCCCAGGTAATGTGAGGCCGATACGCATTGGGTGCCATGACCTTTCCGACACAGAACCAATACAGCACTAAGCTATGTGTAAAGCTTTGTTTTGTGTGGGTTGGCTCTCCAGGATAAAGGTGCAGGTGGAGGACACCGCAAGCTCAGTAGGGCCCATCTACGTGAAGGTTTCTTCCAACATGACTGTGGACACACTCAAGCAGCAAGTGAGTGCTGTCTGGTCTACATTCACCGATGCAAAAAAATCACTGGTCAAGGTGCAGCCCTGCAAATGCATGCTCACCAACACTGTTGGCAGAAGGGCCTCCACTCGAGGAAGCTCTGGAGATCTCCATCATAGGGTATTTTGGCCAACTTTTTCACACAGGCGAGACATCTTGGAAGATCTGAGAGTACACACTCTTTATGCCACCGTAAGTGAACCTGCCAATCGACTAATTGTGGTTTCATCTTCTTGGTTCTTTCGGTAAAGTCACGTAGAATGGAAATAAAAAAAATAAAAAAATAAAACATAAAATGATTATCACGACGTTTCGGCCACAACGCAAGCAGCTGTCCTCAGGTGAAGAACAGGTCTGCCGGGAAGACAGCGTCTGACCTGTTCTTCACCTGAGGACGGCTGCTTGCGTTGTGGCCGAAACGTCGTGAGAATTATTTTATAATGTTTTATTTTTATTATTTTATTATTTCCATTCTACGTGACTTTACCGAAAGAACCAAGAAGATGAATCCATGCAGTCACGAAAGCTTTAAATCGAAATTTAATTGTGGTTTACGCAGTTATACTGCAGGGTGGACGGGGACGGGCAGAGGTGGGACAAAGTCATTGTTATGCAAGTCCAAGTCGAGTCTGAAGTCATCAAATTCATGACTCGAGTCTGACTCGAGTCCAAGTCACATGACTCGAGTCCAAGTCACATGACTCGAGTCCAAGTCACATGACTCGAGTCCAAGTCACATGACTCGAGTCCACACCTCTGGGGACGGGTGTGGGAAAATTTAGAACCTTGTCCATTGTTTTAATTGCCGCGCCGGGAAATAAAACTGCGACCTGGATTAAAAGTTCAATGTTATTACTAATGCACCACCACACCATTCCTGTTCTTATCAGGGTTGCAATGGTTCACACTCGCCACAAGTGATTCCATGAATTGAGGTCATGATTCATTTCAAGAATAATTTCTTTCATAAAATTTTAGACTCTTTTATTTATATTGCTTATCTTTTGTATTGTTTGTACAGTTTTGTTCGCCTCATTAGCATAAACGTAACAATAGTGTAGCCTTTGCATTATTCTTTAATATTCAATTCTCACATGCATGATTCTTAATAGATTTATTTGGCCAGATCGCATAAGTAAAATTTGAGTTGTAAACCCTCCTCCATGCAACGCAGCTGCCTAATGATGCTCATAACTATCGGATAAATGTCTGCGCCCAATTTTTTTAATGTTGTGGATAGGTCTCTCAACAACACCAGTGGTGCTGCTGAAGCGGTAATAAATTGGCACAGTTGTTCACGTGACAACCTTATTAATTGGTTTTGTCGGGCGGAGGAGGGTTTACTACACACACTTAACTTTCGCGATGTGACCCAAAATCTATTTTAAAAATAATATTGGTGGTGAAAGCCTACGTGTTATATGTGCAATTCGTTTTTTGTGCCGTGAGCTTGAAACTCGATTAATTATCACATCGTTGCATGCCCAACAACCACCATTATCCAAGCCTTCTTTGCAAAAATCACGTCTTTGTGTCCGGTTTAAATAAGGAAGTTCTCAAGATTGTATGAACAAAACTAACGCATTAAGTGAGCACATTGTTTACAATTGCATGCATAATCCCATCCAGATGGGCTGCTTTTCAGAACGAATGACATTTTGTTTTCCAGCTCTCGCCTGCCCCCTCCCCTGACCGCAGAGCTTTCCGCGTCTTTTGCCGCAGATTTTCCGTCACTACGACATCCACCCAAAGGTGCAGCGCTGGGTAATCAAACAGCGCCTGGCGGAGGACTCTCAATCCCTGCAAAGTTACGGGTTGCAGCGTGAAGGTGACGAGGCCTTCCTCTACCTGGTCTCGGCCCAGCAGGCCAACCTAAACGTGGAAGAGTACAAGCGCGCTCAGATAGATCTTTTACAGATCACAGGTACCTAATTGTTTCGTCCAATGCACCCCCCCCCCGCCCCCACACCATCCTGAGCCCCTGGTTGATCCTGTGGGTTTTTTGGCGCATCTTTGTTTGCTTGACAAACCTTACTTAATTGGCCGTGTCGGGTGGTGGCGGGTTGAACGACACATTTATATTTGCGCAATCTAACCCAAAAAAACCTTTGCTATAGATCATATTGGTCGCGAAAGCTTCGCAGTGGACGTGAAAGGTCCCGCGACTTGATTAAATAAATGAGTAGTCTGTGTGCTGATGTAATGGTCAAAGTTTTTGTCAAATTTGATCAATTATTCACACATTACTGAGTTGGGGAAAACCACCACATAGCAACATTGCCCCCTAACTGGCAGACAAATGCCCACTTTGTGACTCGCAGGGACAGCTGCCGTCAGGGGCGTCCCTTGCCGCAAGGTGACTCCATGCACAACGTGGGTGGAGAGGTGTTAATATGTAGTGCTGATATGATTATGCTTCATGTGATGATGGTAACTTAATTTGCCTCTTTGCACTTCTTGTTCCTGTAGCGCACCTGTGTAAACCGAAAATATTTCAGTAAAATCGTTAATTTGGTTACTGGATTGTGCATCACCACAGCAGTGGAAGGCATCCAGTGGCAAATATATATTGAAAGCACTGTTACTGTCATATAACACATTTTAAATTACTTCTTTGTGTGGCTGTTGATGTACAGCAACACATTAAAATTTATATAGCGGTGGTTGAGCCAGATAATTGCATCAGGAGTAGAGGAGTGTGTCGTGGTCATTATTCCTCCCTCTGTATTTGTGAATCCACGGTCTGTTCTGGATGGACACAGATGCGCTCTGGAGAGTTTTTCAGTTGCGTTTTTGCATCCGGCATCCTCCCTCATCTGTTGCCATAGTTTTTGCATGAGGTCGAAAGCTCGAGATCTTGCATTCGTCGGGTCTTTCACGAGATTTTTTCGTCAATTCCATTCCGCTCTCCAAGCGTCAGCAGCGGAGGTCCAAGTTTCATTGTTGAAGGGGGGGGGGGGGGTAAGTGCGTCGATCCAAAGGGGCTCTTGCGACTTCAGCCAGCGGGTAAGGGACGTCACTGAGATCCTGGTGGGTGGGAAGACGTACCTTTCCCATGATTCGCTGGACTTCGCGGGGAATGGATGCGTGAGCGATGCGCAATGACACGGGAGAGCCCAGGTGTTGGGGTCAACTTTTGAGGGTTCCAGTGATGCAGCGTCGCGCTGGGACACAACCAAGTCGAGCGTGGCTACTTCTAGTCCATACCGGGCTAGAGCATTTTAGTAGAGTCTCCATCTTCAGTCAATGGCGCTCCCGTCCGGCTGTCCCGTTCGGGAGAAGGCACTTCCTGAAGCTGTGTGGTGACACCAGGGTGGTTGATGAGAGGTCAGTGGTCTCCTGAGACATTGATGTAGCTTAGGTTAACCAGACCCTAGGGAAATATGCAGATTGCTTGGATGTTTAAATGGTCATGAAATCATATGTTAAGTTTGCCTAAATGCTCGTTGATGAAGCTTTGTCTCGGAGACATCCACGTCAAAAGCTCGTGTCGAAGTATTTCAACATTTGCTGTACATTTTAGAACAGGCCTCTGCATGCATTTGTGAATTTTATGAGCAGCTGCATGAAGTGATTTACTGCAGAAAAAGTAAGAATAGAACAAGTAATATAAGTGTATTTTAATCTGTAACTCAATCTGTTCTCTGCACCGAGTCTCTTAGACCACGTGCTTGTGAGTGTGAAGCGTTGGTGTTTTACAGTACTGGAAACTGGTTGTAAGTAGCCCAGGCGCGAACAAGCAACATTTGCATGTTGGAGTTTTATGAGTTTAAAAAATAACTCCTTGCTGTTGTATGAAATCTTTGAAACAGGAAGCAATCGTTGCGTATGTTGGTGGACGCAACTGAGCCTGATCTGTGCCGCTTAGTCTGCATTTTTGTGCATCACTTTAGAATGTCGGGCTACATGACTCATTTAAGAAATGGGGGTTTTCCAGCCCGTTGAATCTGTTCCTCCAGCCATCTATTTTCAGTGTTGTATCTTTCCTTATGTTATGGTTGTGTGTAGTTGTTTTGACTGTGTATAATTAGGGGCTTTAGGAAGCATGGTGGATTTTCACCTACAGCCCCCCAGACTGCCTGTTATGCCATAAGTGTGCATTTTATGGCACGCTATAAACAATGTGCTCTAATGGCACTTGAGGTGGAACGGTAACGTTCTCCCACTTACAAGAGCATAGGCTATAAATACTGAACCTTGAACTGTTTATCATCTGTAATTTGTATTCGTGTTGGTTTGTTTCTCAATTAAAACATCCGATGCATCTCTTTAACCTCTGGTTTTTTCAATTTATTTGCATTTTGTACTATTATATCTTTAGCGAACTGTGCTTGAAGCACTAACTCCCTTCCTCTTATTTAATTGCATCTTATATTTTAACAAGGAGCACGATACTTTCCCCGGGTACATTTTGGATGCGGTGCTCAGTCCCTATTAAAGGAACATCTTTTCCGCCTTGCATTGCTATTCACAACGGCAGACGACTGAGTCGATCAAGGGCAAATTTTCCCTGCCGCTTGCCAAATCATTTTCCAGCGGGTGCTATTCAATTAATGAACCGCGCCAATTAATTCCGTTCATTCTGCTAACTGCGTCTGCAGCAGCAAGGCCCCTGCCTTTACGGGTACCCTCGATCTGTGTCGCGCTGCCCACTTCTTCCCAAACACCTTCAATTCCTTTACGTGAAAACCACTTAAAATGTAACTTGACAATCACCCGCTTCGCCTCCTGCTGCGCACAACCCTAATTCCTGCATGATGTCTGACCTTGCCGGAAGTGATTTAAGTTCTTTGGGCGTCGAGATGACACGCATTGCAACTTTTACAGCTGATTCAAGGCTGTCATCGGCAAGGGAATTTTTTTGTTATCTATACAATTGTTGAGGCGGTTTTCTGAGAATATGCCACAAAATGGTTCGCTTGAGGCTGTCGTGTCCAGCGCAGTCTCTGCATTTGTTGGCCCAGCCACCCCACACTAATCTTCAGGCCACCCACCTGCCATCAGCCACCCAGCAGCCCCAGTATTCTGTGGTTCGTCATTATTGCCATTTGTCCTAGAATGTATTCCTGTTACGTGAAAAGCGTTTTTTTCCATCTCTGTTATGCTTTAGCCAAAATTAAATCAAATGTCGTGAACCTCTAAGTTTGGCTCTGGCCATCCAGTTCAAGTTATACACAAAGGGGGCTGGTTGTTGTCGTCTGCTAGGTGGGCTTGGGGAGGGTGCACCGATTGTCAAGATGGAGCCAATGAACCCAGTTTCTGCGCCAAACTGGCTTGCGGCCGAGCTAATCCACGCTGATGCACCCCTCTTCCTACCTGCTGCTGCTGCTGCTGTCACCACCCCGAGACGGCCTGCCTCACCACCTCCGGTGAAAAGCACCTGCGCCCAGCCACCCCGCAACGAGCCACACCACACAGCTTAGACGCTGCGCTAGGCAGCGCACACAACACAATGGCACATGGAGACAATGCTCTACTGACGTCAGAACCAATAATGTATGTTGTTTTTTTATACCATTATAATCATCATAAGCCAATGGTCAATCTCTACACACTGATTTCATCGCTCCATCTCCTTGGTGAATACCCCTCTTGGATTTGTCCGATTCCCTGGATGCCACTCCTTTATTATTCTTGACCATCGGCCATCGGCCCTTACAGTAACACTTGTATATTTCAATAGTTTTTCATTTTGCATAGTTTTGTAAAGTATTTTCCAGGCATAAGCGCACGCTCAGGAGCACACAAAGTAAAAAACTAATTCAACAAACGTCCATTTGGTGTTTGAGGGAATTAGATCGATTTTGGTTTTTGCTTTTAAGAGTTTTGAGAGGGCTTTGTGCTTTTTTGAAGTAGGAGATGGCTTTAATTGAGCAGGTCATGTGGATTAGCCTCATTCCCAGGTCCACTCGATGAACCTGACATTTCATCGATACGAGTACTGTCGGAAAAGACTTCACCATCATCACTCATCTTCAGCAGACGCTGCATTGTAACTGTCAAATATGTACAAAAACATTGGGCTATGTGCCTTTTATCAGGCAAAAAAGAACAAATATACACTTAAGTTTTTCTCTCAAGTGTAGCTGGTTGATGGTTGCCAATGATGGTACAGAATACCCATCACATGAAATATTTTTTTTTACTTTATTTTGCTAAATTCCAGCTCGGAGAATAAAAAAAAACAGATTGGCCCTAATGCAATGAACATTTGTCACAAAGAAGAGCATATGGGAAAGTTTATTCTCTGACTATGTAAAAAAAATGTCACGAAGGGATATGAGAAGTAATTTGTGAAATGAACATCTGCTGGCAGGCCTCTAACACGAGGTACGCACTGCTCTGCAAGATTTCCAAATGGATTATTAGTTTCGTAACATGACGCCGATTGCACAATTGGAATAAAATTAGGGGGAAACGCTTTTTCTTTCAGTTGAGTTTTACGAGCCAATGTTATGGATGATGGGTAGGTGAAATCATAGGCTGTGCTTCTGCGACTCTGCCAACACAGTCCCTGAAGGGTTATAGTTTAGCCTCTTCAACCGTTAAAATCACGCAGAATGTGCCCTATTCGCGTCAGATCTCAGGTGCTGGGGTGGATTGGGTTTGGTTGGTGTTTGGATGGGTGGTACTGCGTTGGCAGTGGTGCACAAGCTGAAATAAGACAAACAACTTAACACATCCGTCAATAACACTGTGGCCAACAGCCCTTCTTCACAGGACAAGAAGTCGAGAGGGTGGAGCACATGCACATATAGGTTGTCATTGGGCTTGCAGTTCTTCATTGTCAGCAGCAGGAGCCAGTGTGTAAAAATGCTCAGTCTGGATGGCCCCACCTTCCTGACCAGAGTGGTGAATATGGCCAAAGAACTTCACTAATCTATTTAAAACTATTTTTATTTACCAGGTAAAGCCCCCTGAGCTGTTCACTCTTGTTTAGAGGCAACCAGGCCACAAATGATAGCTCAACGAAGTGGCTTATCACGTGGAAATGTACGGCAGCCAAATAATCTAAACGCATGTTTCTAAATGTGGAGGGGAAAAAACGGAGGACCTGGAGAAATATCCACGCGACCACGGGGGGAGAGGGGGAGAGAGATGCGCAAACCCCACGAACTGCATGGCAGTGGCAGTGAGAGGCATCAACAACAAAAGCGAAACCTTCGGTGACCCAAGCATCTCACCAGGCGCCGGATTCATGAAACAAAAGTACAGGGTAGCAACAACTACCTCGCAGCCACGACTTGCTTTTATTTTAATATTTTAAACAACTATAGATAGTACATATATGAATATTTTTTTATCATTGTATAGGAATTTCAATTTGTTTGTGCACGCGTATAGATGTGATGGCGCTTGTAGAGGCAGAATTGTGCAGGAAAAGCGCCACATGTTTAAACAAAGATTAAATTGACTTGATGTATCAGCTCAAATTAAAACCATTTACGCATAACCTGATTCACTCTAAACTACCAATGAATCCCTCCCATCCTTATCTTATCGTCATCTCCCTTTTCTCATATGCCTACATACATGCCTCTAGAGATCTTTTGTCTATAGCTCTTCTGCTATCTCACTTAATTTGTAATATTTTAAATGTGGGCCCTCTAAAAATAATTCTAGCTTATGGCCCCCAATGGGCGAGCAGCACCCATGCCCCACGCTGTGGTGGGGCCCTCATCCAGCACTGGATTGATGCAGTTATGCACATGCATAAGAGCATTAATGGGACAATTTGAAAGCATCACGTTAAAAACACGTGCATTCAAGTCCCTTGCACCTGCTGCGTGTGCACGTTGATCGTAGTTTCATCGTATGAAGTCTGCCGCCAGCTGCCATGCACTAAGCCATTGGTTCTCAACCTTTATTTTTGGCCTGGTGGCCCCCAGTCAAGTCTTATGATTCCTGCATGACCCTCTGCCGCCCCCCCCCCCCGAACCTCCAGCCCAAAATCACAACTAAGGTTGCTAAGGTCGCAATACAGTTCACGCTGCTCGTCAATTCGATGCTAGTAGGGCATCCGGTTCATGTTGTGTATTCGTCCATTGTCACCTCAAAGTGGCGTTGAAGTCTGTGTCCTTGCCGTAGCCTCTCGACCCTCATGACAGGCTTTTGAGGCGGGAAGCGCTCCACGGGATTGAGAATCGTTGCACTAACCCAACGGCCTAATCACTTTCAAACGAATGCACAAACACTCAATTGCCGCCAATGTGTAACGAACTCTTGCCAGCCGAATAAATATCTACAGTACTCTTATTATCAGAGGTGTATTCCAACTTGGCACAGATGAAAACAACGTTAAAACGTTATCGGTCCCCCTGCGTACATGCGAGTGCAAATTAACGCGCGCCAACGGCATGCTGCCCTCCCAGGTCCTGTTTGGCAGCTCGGCTCCACCACACCTTTCCAAACCCCACAGCTCCCCTGGACTGTGTTCTCTGCTTTGTAAATAATTAGCAACATATGTCACATGCAGTGTCTATCTAGCCCATCCCCCTGTCATTCAACAATCATGCTTTAGTATTCACCTTCCCTTTATTCCGCGCACACACACACACTTCTGTTTTGCATGCACCCCACCACTCTTCCGCGACTTGCTTACACCTGCCCGTTATCCCTATTATTCATACTCCCCCCTGAATCTATTGATAGCGACGCATCCATATTCCTGGCATGGCTTGACGGCGGCGCGGGGTACGCGGCTACTGCTGCTGCTGCTGCTGTCGCTGCTGCTGCTGCGGCTGCTGTGGCTGCTGCTGCTGCGGCTGCTTGCTGTTGCTGCGTGTGCAGGTGGGCTGGCCGTGCCCGGTGTGCACGTTTGTGAACCTCCCGTTGCGGCCGGGCTGCGATCAGTGCGGCACGGCGCGGCCTGCGGATTACCAAGTGCCGGCGGGGTACCAGCCCACGGACCGCGAGCGCCGCATCACCGATCAGGAGATCGACAACCGGCGGAAGCTTGAGGAGGTGCGGGCAACCTTTGCTATGTTTGACGGCGTTTTCGTTGGGTAAAGAGGTCGTGGCAAAGGTTGCGACTCTTCAATTTCGTGCCCACTGCTGGTGGAAGAGCTTCCAATAGAGGGGGCACTAGAGAGACCCTCTCGAGTAGTGGTCGGCAATCTGCGGCTCCGGAGCTGCATGTGGCTCTTTAAGGAACTGCTTCCTGACGTTCTTTATTATGGACCACCGTCTCTTATTCACTTTGCATTGCGGCTCTTGACATCGAGGTTTTTTTTACCGAATTCGAAAAAAATGTCTCTACTTGTTATTTTGGTTTCCGACCCCTCCTCTAGAGGGTTATTCGGTTGCTTTACATTCCCACGTGATAAGCCACGTCGTTGAGCTATCATATGTGGCCAGGTCGCTTCCGAAAAAGCTCTTGTAGAGCTCAGTGGGGGCCTTACCTGGTAAAATAAAAAAAATAGTTTAGTTTGCTCGCCTCTTTCGTGCGACCAGATGTCTTGCTCGAGGTGTGAGTGCCCACACTTTATCTCCCATCACTTGTGACCTGCTGACCAAACATCCCACTGAAAAATGTTGGAGAATTATTCAGAATGCCTCTTGACTCAATGAACTTGCTGCCACCGCGGTGCAGTGGTTACCAATGCAGAGGTCGCGTACCGGCGTGGCAATTTAAAGAATGGGCAAGTTTCTTAAATCCCCCCCCCCCCGCCACCTCTGTCCTCCCAGCAGTATAAATGAGGACACCACAGTCGATCAGCAGGTCGTGTGTGAGTGGGTAAAGTTCGGGTAATCTCACCTCTTCAAAGACGTAAGGCCAGCATGAAAGAGTCGGCTAATTACCCTCTATAGAGGCGCTTTAGAGCTCCCCTTTAGTGTAGGCTCTTCTGCCAGCAGTAGCGCGAGCGGGCAATTGTAGGGCTGCACCGTTACCTTTTACAGAATCTTGCTATATTTGCTGTGTGCATGTTGAACTTCTTTCGCGCCGTACGTAGCTCACAGTGCTAATTGGAGGTGCGGGGGAAGGACAACAACAGCGGTGGGAGTTTTCGATTTAAAGCTTTCGTGACTACAGGGATTCATCTTCTTGGTTCTTTCGGTAAAGTCACGTAGAAGGGAAGTAAGAAAATAATAAAAATAAAACATAATAAAAAAAAATAATAAAGTAATAAAATAAAATAATATAATAATATTTTATAACAAAATAATTATTATATTATTATATTATTTTATTATGTTTTATTTTTATTATTTTATTACTTCCCTTCTACGTGACTTTACCGAAAGAACCAAGAAGAAGAAAAAAGCGGTGGGAGTGTGACCAAGCCTTGCGTGCCCTGTCTTGAGCCCGAGTGTTGCAACATTTCCCACACGTGTGGGCCCCCGCTGGTGTCGCAGACTCGCGTGAAGAAGCGGCGGGAGAACTTCCAGCGCTTGATGCAGGAGGACGAGCAGGAGCTGGTGCCTAACAAGGAGGCGTTCACGTGCCCCATCTGCTTCGTGGACTATGAGCCCGACGAGGGGGTCACGCTGCGCGAGTGCCTGCACAACTTCTGCAAGTAGGTTCAACACGCAGGCTTTCGTGACCACGAGTTCATTCATCCGTACAACCCTCTCAAGGCCGTTAAGATCGGCAGACTCTGCCCTTCTGTGCGTACCTCGATCCCGGCTGCGTTCCCGGGACGAGCGGGGCATTTGCTGTGTCTCCGCCACGGTTGTAGTATACCCTACCCGTTGGAAATTCGTTAATCCTATAATGTGGATACTTTTAAGTCTCGTCTTACAACGCATCTTAAGTCAGTTTATTTAGCTTCTCCTCTCTTGGCCTTTCCTTATTCTAACAAGGCGCCCTTGAGACATTTGTGGAAGACGTCTTAGAAATAAATGTAAAAATTTTTTATGTTATTCATATCACGAGGTTTTTGGGTTTGATCGCGTTCAAATAAATGTGTTGTTAATCCATCGCCACCACCACCCGACACGGCCAATTAGTAAGGTTTGTCACGTAAAGACAACGCGCTATTTAGTTACTACTTCAGCATACCGGTGTATTGGAGGGTAAACCCACAAGATTTACAATTTGAGTATGGCGTTTTGCTGGCGATTACAAACAGCATCATCAGGCGATTTGCCACAATTGTGAAGAAGTCTTCTTGCTTCGGTCTTAAATAGAGTAAAGGTGATGTCATCACTGTGAGCCTATCAGGTGCGAGGATAAGCGGCGGGGGGTAAATGTAATCGTATAACGACACAATTATATGCACGCGATTTACCGCAAAAAAAACCTTCATTATGAATTCTGCAAGTACGAGCAGGGCGGGAGCCGCTTGGCTTGGCACGACTCGCTTGATTGTTCACAATGTTGTTGTTTTTCTTGTAATCCTCTTCACCCGTTTGAAGAAAGGTTTCTGCACTCGCAATTTCTGTCTCTATTAAATCTGCCACAACAAACGATTGTATACTGTGCATAAAAATTGGGGGAACTGACTAAGGAGACGTTGTCTGTGATTTACGCGGTTGTGCTGCATATATCTCTCTCCCGACGTATTTTCGGGTTTGTGCCGTGTGTGGTTCGGCAACGATGTCCGACGGTTCGCTCCACGTGCCGACAGCTTCCTTTCAACGCATAACACAAACCCGAAAACACGTCGCAGAGCCGTTTGGGAGTTATGCTGGCCATGCAATGAAATTTAGCAGATTAAAACGTGTTGGCGTGTACCATCCATTGTCGTCGTAGTCATCGTCACTGACAACTGCCACCGCATGCCTGTACCTTCAGGGACTGCTTGCGCGGCACCATCGTGAACTGCGAGGATGCAGAGGTCACGTGCCCCAACCAGGACGGTGAAATCAGCTGCGAGTTTAAGCTGCACCAGCGAGAGATCAAGGCCGTGAGTGTCGTCACGGGTCAGCATCCCCGTTTTCCAGCTGCGATGGCCACTCTTTGCCGGGGCCTCTTCCCCGCATTTAATGATTCCAGCTCCCAGATGCGGAGGAATCTGCCACGGTGGTGTCATGGTTAGCGCACTCGATTCGCATACCCAGAGGTCGTCGATTGAAACAATGGTGCAATACTTTTTGGTTTTTTCGGTAAAGTCACATAGGTAAAAAATTAAATAAATTAAAATGAAAACTAAATTAAATCACGACGTTTCGGAAGCAACACAATCCTCCGTCTTCAATTGGAACCGCCACGGTAAACCGCCCCGGCAAAGAGTGGCGGGTTCCACCTCCGTGACTTTACCGACAAAACCAAAAGGTATGGATCCTTGCAGTCACGAAAACTTAAAATCTAGAATCAATGGTGCAATTTTGGCTACGTACGGTGCAAAATAATTTCAACGTACATACATACGTATACACCACAGTCACTCGATTGGCAGGGGGCGGGTGCTCTCCCACTTCTTCTGAGATATCTGACCAGCGTGGAAGAGTAGGCCAAAATTCCCTCTCGAGCACGGGTCTGCAACCTGCGGCTCTGGAACCGCATGCGGCGGCTCTTTGGATTTTTTTTTTTAAACGTAAATCTTAAACATAATTGAACTTAAAGCTTATTTATTAAAAATGTCAGTGAATGGGTCACTGGAATGTCCTGGTGACAACAAAATGTACTACAATCAAACTGTATTGTTAAAGAATAATAAGGGGGGGGGGGGGGGTGGGAAACAAAATAGTTGTAGTTTATTCTATCACGTATTTTGTTTATTCAAGTCAGAATTGGTTTGTCATCTGCTGTATGCCTGGTGCGCTTGTGTGTGTGTACAAGTAGCTCTGCGTGTGATGCGGCTCTCAAAACTACTTTGTTCAGAGACACATACAACAAAAAATTTCTCTTCCTCCTTGAAAGGTTGCCGACTCGTGCTCTAGAGGGACTTTCTAGAGCTCCCTCTCGTGAAAGGCTTCCTGCTAGCCGTGGTGTGTGCAAGCGATTTGCTTGCGCTTGCTATTTACCATTTACATTACAGCGCCACGGGCACCGCGGGATATTCGCGTGCCCTGCTGTGGTGGTCGGGCAAACAAATGCAAATCGCAGCCCCTAATGGCCAACTCTTCAGTTCACGTGAATTCACTGAACTGCCATTATTTATTTAGCCCTTCCAGTGTACGTTGAATTCCCGACGAGTGCTGCTTTGATCGACGCTCGCATCGAGCCTTCTCCTTGTATGTTACGACGCTAGTTCTTCCCCTCGGGGTGGGGGGGGGGGGGAATGAAATGCCCTTGCTTAGTGATGGCATTAGTGGCCTTTTCGCTTCTCATTTGGGATGAGGGTATCTACACGCAGGCGTGGAACAGAGCGGTCTGTGCCCAATGAGCCTCCTGAACGTAAACTGTTGCGCGGATATCGGCCCCGCGCTGTTTTGCCCGGTGGCGTCAGGGAATGCTTAAGTCACGTAAAATAAACAATCGAGTGCTCAGTGTGCTTACTACTTAGCCAATTTAAAAAGAGTGGGCCGATCGATCCACGCTGCCGGCCGGTAATTTCTGCAGGGAATTAGCCAAGCACACTGGTGTAAAGTGGATCTTAAAGACCCTTTGACATAACTCACGAAGTCAGGCCACTGTGCACCCATGTTATAAACTAAACAAAACTCAGCACATTTCGATTTAAAGCTTTCGTGACTGCAGGGATTCATCTTCTTGGTTCTTTCGGTAAAGTCACGTAGAAGGGAAGTAATAAAATAATAAAAATAAAACATAATAAAACAATTCTCACGACGTTTCGGCCACAACGCAAGCAGCCGTCCTCAGCTGAAAACCAGGTCCGTCGAGGCGACAGAGTCTGAATGAAACAGCACACGAGCTTGGAGCATATATATAAGCTGGGCGCATTGACAAAGGAATTTGCATATCAAAAGGAATTTAGCATATTTATGGGAAATGCAGGAATGTGATTAGTACTGCATATGCATGTGCATTATGCAGGATTAACAGCATCAAAGGGAGCTGCAGTTACTGCTGCTGCAGCAGTTGCTGCTGCTGCTGCAGTTTCTGCTGCTGCTGCAGTTGCTGCTGCTGCTGCAGTTGCTGCTGCCGCTGCAGTTGCTGCTGCTGCTGCAGTTGCTGCTGCTGCTGCAGTTGCTGCTGCTGCTGCACTTGCTGCTGCTGCTGCACTTGCTGCTGCTGCTGCAGTTGCTGCCTTATCCATTTTAAAATAACACTGTGTAGCCGAAAAAGATAAACTAATAAAGGCAACATTTCTGGCAATGGTTCTTCTCCATAAAACACGTTCATTGTGCTTGTGCACCACTGCCAATGCACTATCACTAAATATATTGTTTTAATTTCATTTTCAATCTGCTGCTATTCATGTATATGAAAGAAGAAGACTGCATCCTGTATTTTTAAAACTTCCTGCGCATTGAAACAAAGGGCACATATCTTAAAGCACCCCACCTCTGCCTACCCAACAGTATAAATGTACGCGATCTAACCCAATAAAACTCTATTATGGATGATATTGGTCGCGAAAGCCTACGTGTTTAACAGTATAATTGGGTTCACCACAGTTAGTTGCCCGTTGGTGGGGTCGAGTACTTCCACTGCTTCCAATGTGTCTAGCCAGCATGCAAAGAGTCGGCAAAATACCCTCATCGAGGGGCTCTCTATAGAGTTCCCTTTTTAAATCCTTTATATTAAGTTTACTTGCGCACTTACGACCATGCAAATCTTTCGGTCGTTTTTTAACCCACTTCCCGTGATCCAATCGAGCTGACATTTTGCACACGCGTGACAATTTATATTCGTGAATTTTTTTTTCCATGACCTAACACTTTTTAGGAATTTTTTTTTTATATTTAATTACCAATTGCTTAATGGTGGCAGGCAATCATCTGACCCATAGGTGGCAGCCATCTCAAGCCAGAGAACGAGAGGACTCTAGCCGCCACGCATATAAAGGATTTATAGTGAAAAACTTCGTTTTTACGGGTAAATTTTTTAAGAGGCCCCCTTTTTGCCAGCAATGGTGCGGGTCAAGCAATTGCAGGGCCTATACCTTTCACCTCTTTGTGACTGCAGGTCATGTATAAGTGGGGCTCGTTGGGTCAATAGACGTGAATATTAGAAATCTCGCAAGCATTGAAAATGCACGCTCGGGGTTGTGGCCGCAGGGATGCGCGCGGACATCATCAAGCTCCGTGGAACCGTGAATTATTACGTCCCTGCCGAGAGGGCAGCAGCGGCACTGCCTTGGGACCAGGAATCAAAATTAATGAGTAAGCCAAATGCCCTCTGCGTAGGGGCTCACTCGAGCTTACTCTGGTAGAGGCTTTTCCTGCCAGCAACGGCACGAGCGAGCAATTGCAAGGCTGCGTATTTAACTCTACCTTATGCCCCTGAAACTTGTGCGGCCTTGCTGTGCTGCCCTCCATTTGTCCTTGATTATTCTCCCATCTCCCATGAAGATGACAGTTTGATGCTGAACTATCGATTCTTTTTGATAACCTCCTTTGCAATTGCATTTTGCTGTGTTTCCTTGTTTGTTTACATAGTAGTTCTACAGTCCCCCTATAGTCTGTTAGTGTTTCCGTCGCTAAGTTTTGTTATTGTTAGCCGTGTTCAATCTGCAGGTGACCTGCCCGAGCCTGTTTGCACTGCATGAAATAATATTTGCAGTGTTTTCGATTGTTCACGCGAAACAGCCGTCGTTGTTTTTTTTTATTTCCGCGTTCAGGTTTTTCTTTTGTCGTTTTCGTGACCCAGGTCGCCCTTGAGATTTCACCTGGTCAAACAAAATAAAATTGGTGACACCTGTCCGTACCCCTGTCCCAATCATCAGCTGGTGACGGAGGTGGAATATTGCCGCTTCTTGGGGAAGGGCCTGGCCATCGCCGAGAACCGCAGCGCTGACAGCTACCACTGCGTGACGGCCGACTGCCACGGCTGGTGTATCTACGAGGACATGGTGAACGATTTCCTGTGTCCCGTCTGCAATAAGTCCAACTGCCTCACCTGCAAGGTGTGTGCACGTGCGTGGTTTGTATATTTCTGTGTTTTTTTTCCCCGCTTTGTTTTCATCACGATTACGGCTGTGCTACCTGCAGTCGCATCACGAGATGAAGGCATCGTTTTTTGTACTGTTAGAGCGAGCAGTGCATCACCACGTGCTGTAGAAAGGTCTTGAAATACAAAGGTCATTAACACCATTTGCCCCCAACAGTTTTTAAATCTATGAGGCTGCACGAGAGCGTTTTATCTTTGTCTGTGTGTGTGTGCGCGCGCTGCATGCAGGCCATCCATGAGGGAATGAACTGTCAGGAGTATCAAGATGATCTGAAGCTGAGGTCAGACAACGACCAGGCAGCGATGCAGACCAATCTCATGCTGCAGGTGGGATGTTACGGACACAGCGGAGTACCACATTGTTGTCCGCACTCACAACTGTGCAGTGCGTTGGGGAACCCACCAGAACCCTGCGTAATGACTTTCTCTTCTTGGTTCTTTCGGTAAAGTCACGTAGAATGGAAATAACAAAATAATAAAAATAAAACATAATAAAATATTATGTTTTAAATAAGCGTACAATTCAGTTATGGCTGCTATGACGTTGCTATTTTGGCACGGAATAAAAAAAAAACCGAAAAGTGGATGGAGCGGTGGCAGAGTGGTTCGCGCTCTGCGTTTTAAACCAACGGTGACTCGAGTCTTTTTTCCGGTCACGGCTAACATCAGTGGTGAGTCATAACTGAACCGGTCCTACCCACCGATCACCGACCCGCATTGTTCGGTGGTGAAGTATGGTTGCAAACACCGCACGAAAGTCTTGGCATGGGGGGGGGGGTGGCTCTTATTCAACAGTGAATTGACAAAGGTTCCATAATTATAAGTTATTAAGAAATGTGATTCCGATTTTAGGGTTAACACGTAAAATATTAAAATAGGACCTTTCCAATAAAAATATGAGTATCCAAAATGTGTTAATTAAAACCTGATCGCCGTGAGCAGTGTACATATATTTTTTTACGTATTGTAAAATTTGACGAAACACGAAATTGACTTCGCTGGCCTCGGTCACGATTGGCCCCCCACCCACCACACCCCCCCCACTCGGGGAGGCCTCGCGGAGCGCCGTGTCCCCGCGTGACCCTGCCTCCTCCCGCCCCGGCAGACGATGGTGCAGCAGGGCGAAGCCATGCACTGCCCGACGTGCAAGGTGATCGTGCAGAAGAAGGACGGCTGTGACTGGATTTGCTGCAGCATATGCAAGACCGAGATCTGCTGGGTGACCAAGGGGGCTCGGTGGGGACCCAAGGTGAGCATCCTCGCAACGGACACGAGCGCTCTCGGGCTCTCTCGCCACAGTGGCGAAATGTTAACTACCTCGCCTGGTATCCAGGAGGTTGTGGGTTCGATCCATCCCGACCCTGATACCTTTATATTTGGAATTTGCATGTTCTGCTCGTGGTCACGTGGATTTTTCTCCGGGTCCTCTGGTTTTTCCCTCCGCGTTTAGAAAAATGCGTTTAGAGTATTTGGCTGCTGTACTTTTCCACGTGATAAGCCACTTTGTTGAGCTATCACTTGTGGCCAGGTCGCTTCTGAAAAAGAGCTATACAGCTCAGTCGGCCTTACCTGGTCAAATAAAAATAGTTAATCATCACTCCACTACTCCTGACGCAATTATCTGGCTTAACCACCTCAGTGTAAACTGATTTGCTGTTGCTCTGCATCAACGTCAGCCGTACGCAGAAGGAGCATTCGTCATCAGCCACGATCAATTCACTGCTCGAGGAAGGCCTACCTCGGCGGTCGCCATCTCTCATATTCTCACAATGGCCTCATGGAAACAAAACGTTGTGAATGAGCACGCAATTTAGTCGTGGCCGCAGTGATGTTGATGGGGTTTTTTTGGTTTTTCCGCGGAGGCTTAAAATTAATTTTAGTAACCTTTAAAGCGGGCCAGTTTTCACGGGTTCAATTCTCACCACTTGGTCGTTTAATATAAGGGTAAGTTACGTATGATTATGTTTCAATATTGCTGCCGTGGTGTAATGGTTAGCACATTGGACTGGCAAATTCACACGTCTCTGCTTTGATCACCCGGTGCGGCATTTGAGACGGTGTGCAGGTTTCTTGAATTCCTCTGTCCACCCGGCAGCATAATTGGGTTCACAAGAGTAAATTGTCCGGTGGCGTGCATTGGGGTAAAATGTGGGTCCCCGGACCTCTTCCATGGTTAGCGTAGAAGATTAGTGCCAAAATACCATCTATAGGGAACTTTCCAGGACTCCCTCTAGTGGAGACATTTCCACCCAACAGTGGCATGAGTAAGCAATTGCAGTGCTGCACTTGTAACTTCATCACCTAATGTGACTGAATGTGTGTGTGTGTGTGGCTTTGCGTGTTGGCGGCTTGCGTCATTGCAGGGCACAGGGGACACGAGTGGAGGCTGTCAGTGTCGCATCAACGACAGGATGTGCCACCCTGATTGTATGAACTGCCACTGAGATGGAGGTCATCACTTGCAACAGAAATTCGCGGTGACTTTGTGTGACTCCCCGACGTGTTTTCGGGACTCCTCCACCTGTGGTTTTGCATTATGTTCGATGTTTCGCCGCTCGCGATGAGTGCTTCTTAGTGAACTTAACTACAGTTCTGAAGTTCGTGAAGAAACTCTCAGCACCTGGAGCGAAACGTCGGACATCGTGCCGAACAACACGCCGTACGACCCGAAAACACGTGGGAGAACCACACAAACAGACCATTGAAAAGCTTTGAGGTAGGAATTATTGTTTGTCCTCATGATGCTGCTGCAACTAAAAGTCACACTTTTGAACAAAAATTTAAACCATCTGACTTTAAATCACATTCTAATTAAAAGTTTTCATCTACGATGGGCTCAGGGATTTTGATATAATTTCCGTAGATGTTTTCTCATTAAATAATTCTTCTTCTCACCAATTGGGTGCGAAGAGACACGTGACATGTTATTTACTTGCCTGGCAACCATCTGTTTAAATGGAAATCTGTGCGAGTAAAACTTCTTTATTATGGATTTAGAACCACCTCATGCTTGCAATTTACAGGTTGTTTTTCAACTTGACATGATGGTGTCAAGAGGTGCAATTCTCATTAAAATAATTGTACGTTTAATGGCGAGATTCTTTTTCACGTTAGCATTTGTGTTATGTATAAATGTGAATCCTATTCGGCAGGCCACTAGTCACCTTAAATCACAGGTTGCGTACACGTTGTGCATTCATTTTTTTTTGCTCGGAGCAAAAGCTTTAAACTTTGTATTTGTGGAAATCAATACCCGTGTCAAGTTACAGGATGTATTATTGCTTTAGGAGGGGTCATCCTTTATCCTTTATTCGTGACCAGGATTCTTTGCCTTGCTTGGTTCTTTACAAAATCACTACAAACCTAATGTACAGACTACGTCGATCTCTGCAGCGCACAATACAGCACGCCCATTATCTCGGACATGTGTTTTTTTTTGCGGGCTTGCACCGCGTCTCGTGCAGCACATGATGTCCCCTGCGTTACCTTTCCACGTGCCGCAGTTCCCGTAGTAGCTCCCGCAGCACATGGAACGAAATGTCAGACATCGTAAGCAAAGGGGGGATTGGAAGTTTGTGGAATTTTACTCGCGAGGAGTTTAATTGGTTTCATCACCTCCAGTCCCCGATTTCGTTCAGTTCCTGAAGATGCTCCTGCCAACAGGACGCTGTACAGCCTGAAAGTAAACCGGAGCTGAGTGTACTGTCACCGCACGCGTGGCCACTCGGCCAGCACTAGAAATGCATACGTTTAGCAATATTTTTTATAATGTAGAAATGAGTGAATGTGTATGTAAATATATATATACCATTTTTCAATGTACCTAACATGCATGCACGTGCCGTGGTTATTCCAAATCTCTTTGTGGCCAAACAAGTTGTGATAAAAAAAGGCCTTTACCCTTTTGGCATTCTTACAGGTGTTAAGATAAAGCCATAAAAGTGTCTGTCTCTGGTGTATGCCAATCCGTGTCAAGGACAATGCATATACATCAACGCATTTTTTGCTTGCATTTTTTACCCCAAGTATGTGCGGTTAATGGAGACGTGCCTCGTAATAGTTGTCTAATTGGCGTTTTAACATACAAACACGTTGCGTTTACGCCTTTATATTGAGTTGTTTCTAGACTTAAGCATATAGCAGCAGAACTGTGTTCTGTCTCCACATTTATAAAACAATGTTTTAGTCCATTGGTCTATTGGCTTTCTAGACGAATATTATCCTGTCCAATATAATTTAAGCAAGCAAACTCTGGGCCGCTCCCAACCTTCTGGCTCTCATTAAAGAGTCCGGCTTGTTTAGACAAATGCTGCTGGATTACCAGATGCAATTGGTAAGAGCGCTCTCATTTCAACCATGGGGCCCTATCTATGTAAATCGAAATGTTGTATTAAAACTCATTAGATGATAGATGTTTTTTCTTCTAAACAGCAAAGCACTCCAGATCCACACCTCGGACAGACAGCCAGCCAGCTCATTGCCAGCCGTATTTGACCAAATATCAGAGCAGTAATGATGGAACCCGTGGTGGCTTTTCTTCTATTCTTTGTTCTGGCCTGAGGTGTGCTCAGCCCGGAGATCGGTCGACGACGTGTGACTGCTGCAGTAGATGACGATGTAGCGGCGGCGGCGACGGCGCTTCCCGTGTTGTGTGATCGGTCGGTCCGAGTGCACTGCAGGCGGTGATCCCCCCGCCTGGTTTGTTGGGAGTGCTGCCGGGGTGCGATGGTTTGCGAGAGGGGGAGCTGCTTCGGCGATTGAGAGACTAATCTTGGTTAACGCTTGGTAATGCAAGCCTACATTGTAATTAACAAAAACGTCAACTCGTACCGTGCCGCCACAGTATTGGCTCGCACCAGGAGAGAGAGAGAACCACGGACGAGCGGGAAAGGCAGCCAGGCTAGTGAGCCGGTGCCAAATTACACCCACAAGCCTTGGGCTCCTCTACGAAACGAATAATTTAGCGCTTAATTTGAACACATTACAGTCCACTTGTGAGAGTTTTCATTTTATTGTATTATTGCCTCAAGAGTTGGTTACACAATAAACATTTACTTGGTTCATCCGCTTGATCTGCACGCTCTCAATTTATAAATAAGCCCTACTTTCTGGAAAGTAACGTTTCGTGAGGGCTCTATCGGGGGCTCCAAACGCAAAAGACAACGGAACTAAATGTCGATTTAAAGCTTTCGTGACTGCAGGGATTCATCTTCTTGGTTCTTTCGGTAAAGTCACGTAGAATGGAAATAATAAAAATAAAACATAATAAAATAATTCTCACGACGTTTCGGCCACAACGCAAGCAGCCGTCCTCAGGTGGAGAACAGGTCTGTCGAGAAGACAGTCTGAAACAGGTTCTCCACCTGAGGACGGCTGCTTGCGTTGTGGCCGAAACGTCGTGAGAATGATTTTATTGGTTTATTTTTTATTATTTTATTATTTCCATTCTACGTGACTTTACCGAAAGAACCAAGAAGACAACAGAACTCTTAAGTTGACCGTTAGCAGCTCCTGCGACGCGCACCCCCTTGCTCAACAAGCGCGGTTTTAAAAAGCAATTATTGGCATGCCGCGTGTTGCTTGCGAGAGCAAAAATGTTGCTTCTTTTTCCAACCGCGCCAGCAGCTGTCGGGCGCAATAGCGAACTCGGGCAAGTGACACCCGAAGCGCGTGTAGTTTTTACACCTACGTAATAAGGTATATATATATTTGCTTTTTGGCTTGTTCATAACATTAATTGGGTATCGTGAATTGGTTTCTATTTACGACGAGCAATTAAATTGGCTGTGAGATGCAAATCTCCTTCCTTGCAGTGCTTGGGATGCGTGTTTGCGCGTACGCGACGTTTAAACAGAGAATGGTGGTGATCGTACAGCAATGTATTTAATTAGTTTGGTCCAGATTATTGTGAACCGCTGATTTTGTTTCATTTTATTTCCACCACCGTGAATTTCGGCAATTTCTAAATTTGCAATTGCTTTTACATTTTTCATTAATTACACGTGAATCGCAAAACGACGGCATTGGTATTTCCATTTATTACTTTGCTTATAACGAAATTTCAAAAGAATTAAGTTGGTGAATGAAAAAAATGAAAGCGTCAATGCGTCTGAATGCAGTTTATCGGCACTTTCAAAATTCTGAATGAGGCGTAACAGCTGAAACATATTTGCTTCATAATTCTCATCGTACCCGGCGTAGATTCTACTTTTTTTAGTAACTATGAAAGAATGCATTGTACTTTTCTATTTATTTTTAAGGATTGATTTTTACGTGGTTGCTCATGGGTTACACTGTTAACTTTGGAATGAGGGCATTTACTTAAAAATAAAATGTGGAAAACAGCGATTGTGTTTTACTCGTGTTTACCGTGTTGCCATGTGGTATTGAGGATGTGTTTGATGCGGGATAAGGGGCACGTGGTTTGTGTGCTTTGCCTGGAGTTTGTGGCAAGAAACCTTGGTCGTGTGTGATGATCTGCCTGGGTTGTAAGGCCCACGGCTGTGCATAAACCATTTGACAACCAATTCTTTTCAAACGTAACTGTCATTCTCCATGGCGTCTATTTTTCTCAAAAATATAATTTTAATTTCTTAAGTTATTACTATTGTTTTCATTGGATTAAAAAAACCAACCAAACCCGTGAGTCATGTTATGCTCCGGTAAAAAGAAAACTACAGGATGTTTATTTTGAAAATCAGTCAATTTTCAAATCCACGGAGCAGCATGTGCAATTATATACTCAACTAATGTACAGCTTTCGATTTAAAGCTTTCGTGACTGCAGGGATTCATCTTCTTGGTTTTTTCGACAGACCTGTTCTCCACCTGAGGGACGGCTGCTTGCGTTGTGGCCGAAACGTCGTGAGAATTATTTTATTATGTTTTATTTTTATGTTATTATTTTCCTTCTACGTGACTTTACCGAAAGAACTAAGAAGATAATGTACAGCTCTTTCTCAATCCACTGCTAGATGAAGCCCTCTACATGCCACATAATGAGTGGGGGGGGGGGGGGGTGCCCATACTTCAGTCAGTGCGGGTTGGTGAATAGTGGAGGAGACCTAGAACCTCAGACATCACTAACAGGAGTGGTCCTGTTAGCCATAGCCGGGAATCCAACAATTAAACTCGACTCGTGTCAGTGATTACAGCGCAGCGCACCAACCACTGCGCCGCCACTCCTCCCCCTCCCCCCCATCAAAACTAACAGCCGTGGCCAATTGTGATTTATCGCGTGACACAGAAACAACAAAAGCGCCCGCCTTTCTAGCCCACCTTGAACTTATTTTTTTTCGAACATCCCGTTTTTTTTTACTCATTTCCTATAAAATATTGTATTTTCTCTTTGAACGTGGCCAGACCGACCGACCGACAGGGCGGTTCAGAACGTTAAAACAACAAACGGTACAAAAACATGATAGTCGTGCAAAGTATAAGAAAGGTCAACAAATCACCCAAATACGTCAAAATAAACCATCCCCATCCTACCAGGCAAAGCCCACCGAGGCATTAACTTATTTTTTTAGAAGCAACCTGGCCACAAATGACAGCTCAATAAAGTGGCCCATCATTTGGACATTTATTGCACCAAATCAAAATAATCTCAATGCATATTTTTAAATGTGGAGGGGGAAAAAAACAGGACCCGGAGAAAATATCCACCCGACCACGGGTAGAACATGCAAACTCCAAATATACAGCGGGCGTCAGGGTCGGGATCGAACCCCCGACCGTGGCGATTAAAAGCAGAACAATGATACAACAACAAAAAAGACGTGGCGATGGAGTAGGCGGTCGTATTTAATTCATTGCATGAATAATGGGGGGGGGGGGGGAAGAATGGCAGTAATATCTCACCCCCGTGGTGCCCCTTTAATAAATAAATAAAGTATATAAGTTCATCTCAGTGCAAGGCTGAGGTCGCAAACGGGTTTTGATTCTTTACCCGTACCTGGCCGCACCAGGGTCGCAAACGGCTACCCGTACCCGTACCTGACCGGGTACGGGTAGCCGGGTATCGGGTAGGGTACGGGTATCGGGTACCCGGTTGCGACCTCTGGTGCAGGGGCACATAAATTCACATCATTGCAAAGGATGCGTGCCTCAAATCTGCGGACACGTAGCGGACACAAGAATCACAGCACCGCGTTGTAATTATACATCTGTCCGATGTGTGTTCAGCTTGTGCCGCATGTCGTTCGGCGCGAAGTCCGACGTTTTGCTCCCGTGGCGTGGAGTAAAACGTGCGGGGCTGTCTGACGTGCTGGGAGAGAAACATCGGAGATCGCGCCGAACAGAAACGCAACACCGATGTGCACGGTTGGCTACGTACGGTGCGAAATAAATTTCGATTTAAAGCTTTAGTGACTGCAGGGATTCAACTTCTTGGTTCTTTCGGTAAACTCACGTAGAAGGGAAGTAATAAAATAATAAAAAGAAAACATAAAAAATAAAAAAATTATTATGTTTTATTTTTATTATTTTATTACTCCCCTTCTACGTGACTTTACCGAAAGTACCAAGAAGGTGCGAAAGAAGTGCAACATACAGCGCAGCCTGAAAACAAACAAGCTCGGTGTTTGTTTTGCAGTTGCATTGCAATTCACAACGTGAGCCAATGCAATGGCTCTAGGTGCAGAAACTACACCTGGGCGATACAGAAGCTGGATTTTGTCGGCGTGATCGCGAGAATTACAAAAGACCATAGGTCATCCCGAGAGTAATTAACAATGTTGTTTTGAAGCATGTTTTGCCTTGCGGTGGTTCTGCCACATGTCATTGTATGCATCAACCAGCTGGTGGCAACCTTATGCAGGCTGTGGAGAGTTTGCCAGCGGTGCAGTTTTAATATAATAATTAATTTGCAGCCCTTTGTGAATACACTGCTTAGATGAACAGCCTCTCGACGCTCGTGTTGGTCATGGGGGTCATTTGACCATACTTCACCATTCTGGTCATTGTTGGGTTAGTAAACGGTGGGAAAGGTGGAGGTGGTGGGTGGGGGGTTTGGGGGGGTCACCGCTTCAAATATCACTCGCCATTGATGTTAGCCGTGACTGGAAATCGGACCGAGGTCGCCGGGTTTATAGCGCGTGAGACTTAAGGGGCCGTCCATAAATGACGTCACGCACCTAGGGGGGGAGGGGGTTAGATTTTTGTGACTGTGTGACGAGGGCGGGGGGGGTGTGAGAAATGTGACGTCGCATCAAAATGCGCAACTTTAAATAAATCTATAATTGTTATAACAACACTAATTGTTATAACAACACTCCTACAACATCAGAGTGCAGCGCCACATTAAATACGCACTACAATTACAATAGTTTAAAGCGATTTGAAGCATGTTTTATATTCAAAATGGAAATATGGTTTTGGGGGAGGGGGCGTGCAGAGCTTTGTGACGTCATATTTGAGGGGGGGTCTGACTTTTTGTGACGCCGTGTCACGAGTGGGGAGGGGGGGGGGGGTCAAAATTCGTAGCAAAAGTAGCTACATATGTAGTAGCTACACAAGTAGCTACTACATATGTAGCAGCTACATATGTAGTAGCTACACAAGTAGCTACACAAGTAGCTACTACATATGTAGCAGCTACATATGTAGTAGCTACACAAGTAGCTACACAAGTAGCTACTACATATGTAGCAGCTACGGGCCCCGCACTTTCAAGGGCCCCGCGCTAAATGCTTTCAAGCTATCAATTCCGGTTCAGTGATTTGGTCTTGCTCTATTACTATAGTACTATACCGCCTTCAACTTTTATGAACGACTGGGTGTTTCAGGGTAGCCATTTGTCTTATTATCTGTCTGTATGAAAAAAAACAATTACTTTACTATGCAAGTAAAAAATGTCTGTTTTAATATTTGTGTTGTTTTAAAATGTATATGGCCCCTTTATAACACATTCTACAGGCCCCCACTAGCTTAATCCGGCACCGCACCTCAGTGCTGGGTTGAGCAGGAAATCACTTTGGCTTTTGAAACTAAATTACCGAATCGCCACCTCCGTGTCGGCGCAGGTCAGCACGTGTCGATGACCAGCAGCCGTGGGCGTTGCGTCC